CCAACCTGTCGGTTAGCTTGTGGCTGGGATCTGGCCAATTGGGACTGGGCGAGACCAGTCAGACATGCGCTGGAGCCTTCCCTCAATCCCTCCCCAGCCCTTGTGAGGGACCCCACTAGTGCATGAATCCATGCACTGGGCCTCTAGTTTTTCAATAAAGAAATGTAGAAGGCTGTAAAAAACAAAAACAAAAACAAAAAACACAAACTTTAAAAACACCAGAAGAAAACCTGAAGTGAACAGGTATTGATACTTTATTGAAACCATTAAGAAAAAAAGAAAAATGCAATTAAAGACTTCTTGGAACCAAACACTTATGGCAGAATCCAAACAAGACACACTGTTTGGAGGTTGACTGTAGTGGACTTGAAGAAAATTCCTCTTGTAATACTTGTGGATATTGATATGAATCCAAAACAAATTCCCCTGAAACTCAAGATGTGTGGCCAAAGAACTTGCAAGATAGAGCTGGTCAAAGAACAAGATCTACCCTAAAAAACAAACAAAAATTTCAAGAATCTAAACATTCACCTAGTCACATGGATAATGTGCAAAGATAAATGTAAAGAAACTGGAGCTTGCCTTAGCCAGTTTGGCTCAGTGGATGGAGAGTTGGCCTGCAGACAGGATTGATTCCAGTCAAGGTCATATGCTCGGGTTGTGGGTTTGATCCCCAGTATGAGATGTGTAGGAGGCAGCCGATCAATGATTCCCTTTCATCATTGATATTTCTCTCTCTCCCTCTCCCTTCCTCTTTGAAATCAATAAAAAAGATATTTTTAAGAAAGAAGGAAAGGAAAAAAGAAAGAAAGAGAAGGAGGGAGGGAGGAAGAGAGAGGGGGAGGAAGAAAGGAAGGAAGGAAGGAAGGAAGGAAGGAAGGAAGGAAGGAAGGAAGGAAGGAAGGAAGGAAGATGAAAAAAATCCTGAGAAGAACTTCTAAGAGAAAAACTTCTGTGAAACAGAAGACAGAAACTGTTACCTCAGGGAAGAAGTAAAGTTGGTATAAGTCTACAGGAATCTGATAGCTTGGCTGGTTCAACAGGAGCTGTGCACATGGAAAAAGGTGACCAACTAATAGAGTTTGCAAGAAAAAAAGCTAAATCTACAACTGAAGAGAAGATACTTTTAAGACCCAGGAAAATAAAATTAATTTTGATCTGGTAAAATCTTTGATCAATATAGAAGAGGAAATTCACACAGACCAAGATAAAATAGGAGTAAACCCAGAACTTTCTAATATTTTTGTCTGATGAAACAAAAATAGCCAACAGAGCCCCAGAAAATAAAACTATTGACAGTTTTTCAGATAAATCGGTTATGGGCTTGATCCCCAGTGTGGGGTGTTCAGGAGGCAGCCAATCGACGATTCTCTCTCATCATTGATGTTTCTATCTCCTTGTCCCTCTCCCTTTCCCTTCCTCTCTGAAATAAATAAAAATATATTAAAAACAAGTAATGTAAAGCTAGAGGTCTACCCAGTAAAACAGACAGCACACCCAGAGGGAGCCAAAGAGGAACCCATGCAGAGTATCTGTGGGAATGTAAAACCAGAAACCTCCAGAAGTCAGATGCAAATAGAAAACAAAGGATACACCTTAGAAAAGACTGTTTTATCCAAAGAACAAACTTTGTGCAAAAGGCCAAGCAAAAACCAGAGTGATATATCACAGCAAAGATTAACTTGGAATTCTAAGAGATGTGTTTCTGAGGAGTTGAAGAGGGAAAATGTGATGATCTTTAGTTTCATGGCAAGCATAAATATCCTTCACAGTATAATTTTTTTTGTCATAAAATAAGTGATTTGTGTAAGTAAAAAAAATAAAATAGCTATTCATAGGTTTTGACATTTGATTATAGGCAAAATTAAAAAAAATAATTAAGACATACTTTCCAGCCCTATGGAAAATAGCATGTCTTAAAATAAAATAAAAAATTTATTTTTGCAATTTGCTAGTTGCTGATTCATTCTTTGGTTGATAAAATATCTTTCCTTTGCCTACCAGTGATTAGCCTTTTTGTCAATGGATGAGAGAATGAAAAAGTAAATTCTAAACCAGTAAGGTCAGGTATAAACTTGCCAATATTATATTGCTGATTGGTTGTCTGCAATTTATACTTTTGGAGGGATGGTTAGTGCTGGGTTGCTCAAAATAAAACAACTCATTGCTGTTTCTCTTAATCTGGAAATCCAGATTGATTATGATTTGAGATTTTTACAGAAGTCAATGCACAATATTATATAAATCTGAACAGCATACTTGTGTTTGTAACGTATCAGTTTTAGTCTGAATTGTTTCTTTAATTCCATTTGAGAGAAACCATATACATGCATTGGAAAACACTAAGATATTGCCTTTTAAACTGTTGAGGCCATTTCCTTAATATTCCCTTTGGCCTTTACAATTGAATCTCGTTTTCCTTATATAGCACACCTCATGCCATTTGGCACAACTGCCAATGAATGCCATTTTCCATGGTTGAAGCGCACTCACATTTGCAGAATGCAGCAATTAATGGCTTCTTAAAACTATCATTCTATCTCAAGATGACATTTTCCCCTTGGTTATGATATCGAATGCCAATAACAAATTGCTTTGAAGCAACTGGTGATATATATGTGATTTAGAAAATCAATCCTGTTCTCTCACATTCCAGATGGACTCTTAGCATATATCCAGGACCATTATTTTCCTTCTCATGAGAAGTCAGTGGAAGTAAAATATGCTTGAAATGTTTTCATCTGTGAATTATACTTTGATAATTGAAAACCAGGAGCAAAAGCGTAGTTAATACTGGAGAACTGATGCTCTCAGGTGGTTTTGATTAAAATGTGTACATTACTTAAGCAGCCTTGCAAAAATTATCAGTCACACACTATCCTCCACAGTGTAACACACACACACACACACACACACACACGTAAGAGAATAAATAATTTCTACATTAGTAACTATTTTCTGCTGGTCCTATGTAATAAATAACTTCCAGGTGAAATCTGTAAAACTGAACACCCAGATACTGACCTTAGCACTTTAAAAATGCGTATATCCAGGTATTACAGCACTGTGAACACATACATTCTGTGTGTATTAACATGATATATTACATATGTGTGTATTACCATAAGACAGTTGATAATACACTAATAAAAATAGTTCTTGAGATTTTTTTACCTACAAAATTATGCCTGAAAAATTGTGTCTGGTAAATCAATGACATGCAAAATCAAACAAACCAGAAAATGCCCACAAAGCAGAGTCAAAACTCATTTTTATTCAACTGAGGGATGTGAATAAAAGCTTGTGTGATGTATAAGGGGGGGAGAGGGGAAGGAAAACTTGTAATTTTAAAAATCAGGAGATCCTCATTACATGATTGGTATTACATTATAGACATTCTGAAATTTTTAGGTAAAGAAATATTCCATAGTTCACATAGGGAAATATACTTGATCCAGATTGTGTTTTTAATAAGGTTTTGCTGTAAAGTTCAAGATGTTAGTGGCAACAACATATAGGATATACCTTATATGCTAATACTTGGATGTTTACGTTGATGTTTCAGATATAGGTGAATTTTAAGAAGTGTTTAAAGCAGTGTAGTCTCAAAGGATAAATCATTTAAAAGAATATGGCAACTTTTCAGTTTGATTGGTGGGTAGTGTTGATAGTCACATATAAGTAAAATTTACACTGTTTGAGAAACATAAATATATGCGATTATTCAATATAACATGACTTTTAAATCATGTACCATTATCAACTGATATTGTCTCAGCTCCTGATGCTTTTGCCAATTCCCAGCTTAAAACTGCTTTTGAATGACAAAGATACACATTTCACATTTTAATACAACAGAATACAGTCACACATCTGATAAAATTTGCACAGAGAAATATTTTAATGTTTTTCTGTTTTGATACACTTCAGAGGATTTTAAGGACAGGGTCATTAGCTTTTGAAAGTTTAGAGTAAACCATCCTCTTCTAAATCAATTCAGATTATTTTAAGATTTCACAGGATTGTCAGACTTTTTCAATCCTAAGAACAACATTTGTTTCTAGGTACACACAGGTGTGAGGTCCATGTATGTAATCTTTCTTAATGTTAAGAAAAAAAAACCTCTTTTGTTTCCCTTCTTTTCATGATAATCATAAGCACTAGTAATTATATGGCATACCAGCTGTGTTGTACATAGACAATATGTGTATGTACATTAACATAATGCATTTTAATATCTTACCACTTGCTTAAAGGACATTTTATAGAATGGTAGAACTGACACAATGACTTTTTTTTCCCCTTAAGGAAGGTTGACTGAATCCTTCTGTAGCACATTACTGCACAATTATGGCTTTAAACAAAGAGTTACAAGTCACTGTAAGTTCTTATGTTTTGTATCATGTTGTGGGGTGTATTCCAAATGGAAGATGGAGGGGAAAGTGCATGGCATCGTGCTTCATGGTATGGCATATATGTATCATATAACTATGTAGTGAATGATACAATGAAGACTTAGACTACATGATGTATAGTTATTATAAAAGTTATATATTATGCCACAGTACTAAAAATAAAATTTATTCTCAAATAGTGAAAATAAGGTATCCTTCACATTGTCATATGCTTCCTCTTTCCATCATGCCTCCTCTTCCCCCCCGTTGTAAATGAAGCAATGTCCAACATTTTTATTAAACAATAATCGGGAGGGGGGGCAATTTCCGGGCCATTAAGGCCTATAAAAGATGATAAAACAAGTATCTTGTCATTAACTGCAGAACTACCATCCTGATACGTTCACTACATGGTAAAAATATAAAAAATAAAAGACAAATATAAATATAGTCTCAGGTATTGAAAAAAATCAAAGTCCAACCGTATACTCTCTTACAGATAGTGGTCTTAGGATATACCTAATTCCTGCATCTTAAATCAGATACAGCAACTAACAGGAGATCACGGGTACTTGCCCACCAAATTGTGAGCCACCAGCTGTGACCATGCTTGGCCAGGAAGACGTGCGCAAGGGTTTGGGGGTTCTTCTCAAGGGAGAAGGCATTGGGTCATACCCTCCCTGCTTCCCCCCCCCCCCCCCCCCCCCGGCTGCGGTCTCCAGCCTCAGCTCGCCCCATACCACTCCTCGCCCTCCGCCCATCCTGGGAGCCAGTGGCCTGTCCTGGAGCCGGTGGCCTGTCCTGGAGCCGGTGGCCTGTCCTGGAGCCGGTGGCCTGTCCTGGAGAGAGGGGCAGGAGTGGCTCTCGGACCCTTCCCCCTCGTCCCAAAGGGATGCTGCCTTTCTCCGGACGCAAAAGGGCTCAGGCGTTCTCCGGTTCAGGAGGGAAGCAGGCACTTACAGGTGAACACAATCTGCAGGCGAAGGCGGGCACCGTCCTTCCAAGTTGCGCTCTGGCCTGGTCCGCCGCCGCCGCCCCGCCGCGCGCGCGCCTAACGTTTCCATGAACCGAACGAAACGCGGGGAAACTTAAGGATCGAGAGGGAGAGTCGGGGACCCCGATCCTGTCGCCTGGCGATCGGGCGATTAGCCCCGGGGTGGCAGGCGAGGTCTGAGGCTGTCCCAGCTGCGCGCCCCCCCGCGCAGCCCCCAGCCCAGCTCGGTCCTCGTGGTCCTCGACGGGGCCCCGCGGTCCCGGGCGCTCAGATGAGCGGGAAGCGGCCCTCGCCGCCGCCGCCGCCGCCGCCGTGCTCCCCGGGGCCGCCGCCTCGAGGGCGGCCGAGCACCGACACGGGCAGCACGACCTCCCCGGGGCCGAGCTGCTGCAGCCGCATGGACTCCTCGTAGGTGGGCAGGTACTTGACCTCCTCGTAGCTGGGCAGCTGCAGGAAGGCGGGCGACACTAGGCGCAGCTCGTGCTCGGAGGCGCAGGCGGGGACCGAGAAGCCGCCGCCGCCCCGGCCCCGGCCGCCGCCGCCGCCGCTGTCCAGCAGCGAGTCCTGGGAGCCGGCGGCCGCCTCGTCCCGCAGCAGCGCGGGCGAGTCGTCGTCGTCGTCGTGGGGCGGCCCCGCGGCTCCCGGCGGCCCGGCGCCCCCCGGCGGCCCCGGCCGCGCCTGCCCGGGCCGCGCCTGGCCGCGCGGGTACCGGCGGGGGCTCGGGCAGATGATGCGCTGCAGGAAGTAGCCGATGGCGAAGAGGACGAGCAGGATGAGCAGCCCGGACAGCTTGCGCACGAACCAGCCCACGTTGTCCAGGAAGGCGTGCAGCGGCAGCTTGCAGCAGCGCGCGGCCGTGGCGTTGGCCGCGTCGCAGCAGCGCTCCCGCTCGCCGCACGCCAGCTCCGCGCAGCCGCCGCCGCCCCGCGAGGGCGCCACCAGCGCCAGCGCCAGCAGCAGCAGCGCCGGCGCCGCCGGGAGGCCCTCGGCCGGGACCCCGGGTCCCCACATGGCCGGGCGCGCACCGTCGCTAGTGTCCCAGACGGTGTGTGTGGGGGGGGGGGTTTGGGGAATCCGTCCGTCCGTCCGTCCGTCCGCGTGTCCGCCGGCCCCTCCCCGGGCTCTCGGACCCGGCCCCGCGCGCGCCGCTCTCTGCGGCCGGGGAGCCCTCACTCGGCCGCGCTCGGGCGGGAGGAGGAGCCCGCGGCGCGCCGGGGCTGCGGGAGGCGGCCGCTCCTCGCCGCCGGGGCCGCGTCCCGAGCTTCTGACCTGAAACCCGCGCGCCCCGCCGCGGGGGCGTCCGGAGCCGCCCGAGACGGGGCCGCAGCGGGCATATCCCGGTCCGGCCCGCGGCGCTGCCCCGCGCCCTCCCGGCGGCCCTCGGGGCCGGAAGGGTTAACGCCCCGAGCTCAGCCCCGAGCGCCCCGATCTGGATGAAAGCAGCCGTCGCGCCCTCCCCTCCCGACGGCCGGGCGGGCGGGCGGGCGGGCGGGGGCCCGTCCCCGCGTAGGTGTCTCCGTCTTAAGGGATTGGATTTCCCCGGGAATGTTATTTAAATGGACTCGCGACTGGGATTCGCTTACTTATCCTTTTTTTTTTTTTTTTTTTTTTTTTTTTTTTAATCTTTGTAATCTTTCTGATTAAAAATGGATGGTGGCCATTAATGACTAGCGCGGCCCCGCAGCCGTCCCAGAGCCTGGGGGGCAGAGGGAGCGGGGGCGGGGACCTCCGGGTGGCTCTGCTTTCCCGAGGGGCAGGAGGGTGGGCACCCCCAGGAGCCCTCCCGAGCGGATCACAGGATCCCCCGGGGAGGCTCGGGTCGCGGGCACCCCGGGTCCCCAAAGGGGCAGAGGCGCCCTCTGCCAAGGTGACCCGAGTTGGCCGAGGAGAGGAAAAGGGGGCGCGTATTTCCCCAGCGGCCCCCCCCCCCCCAGCCGCCCCGCCACGACCTCCCACCCCCTGCTGCACCGGGGGGCACGGAGCAGAGATTCGGATCGGGGTAGAAGGAGGCCCCTCTTTCCCGCGTAAATCACACCTCTGTGAAACGTCAAAGGGGAGTTGTAAGTGGTTGGCGACGTCCCTGAGCATTGATCTGCGTCTGAAGGGTCTTTTTTCAAGGTTATTCTTATCCGCGAAGCTTGCCTTTAAAAGGAGAGCCTGTGCTCCCGCCGAGCACTTGGGGGCGGAGTACCCTTTCCCTGAGCCTCCACCCCCAGCGACAGCCCCTCGGTGCCCGAGGCTGGGAGGACGGCGAGGCGGGGCACCTCTGGCACCGGCGGGCCAGTGGGAGCTTGCACCGTTACCGAGGAGGACGGAGACAGACAACCATCCTTGTAGAAGGAGCGTTTATCCATTCCTCCAAACCCCTTAAGTACTAGGACCCTTATAGAGAAACCAAACAGGAAATTCCACAGTCGCTGAGAGAGAGAGGAAAAAAGCAAAGGAAAACTATAGACACAAGATTCAACTGTAGGTCGGATAAAAGTAAAGATTTCCCTTAGAGAAAGTCACACTGTGCCTCCCTAATGACCTTATGGACCAAGGTGAGGGGTGGTGGTTTGCCTCGGCTGAATGGGAACATTTAAGATTTTAAGATATTTCTGCTTTTGGGAACCTTACTGTGCCTCCCAATCCAAAACAGTCCTTTCTCCTCCGGGAGGATCTTCTCAGTGTCTCAGACAAGATAACTCCATGTGCAGCTCAGCCAGTGAGCACAGGTCCTTCTTGCTCAGCTGCCCAATGCCATTTCTGTGTGCCCGGGTCTGTTTCTCTGTAAGGGAGGCTAGACTTTTTGGGTAATGCCTGATGAACAAGCGTTTTCAAACTGGGGTAAGATAACAGGATGGGAATGACTCATTTTACAACAATGAAAATGGTGTTATTCTTTCATTCACCCATCCTTTGGCCAAATTTACACTAAACATTTTCTGTTCCTGAGGTAAAGACAGGTTTGTACTCCCAGCTGCTGCTGAGTGGAGTCAAGGAGAGATTCCAGAGAGGGAGGGAGGCAAAGGGCCCTGGGTTCTCTGATCCTGGCTTGTTCTTCCTTTCTTTCCCAGAGGAAAAAGGAAGTTCATGAGTTTCAAACAATCCCAAGGATGGAGGCAGCTCATAGCCTGAGATGGGCTTTAAGTATAAAGTTGAAAATATATAAAGAACTCTTTTGGGTTTTTATAAACTGACCCTGTAGGTTTTCTGCCAGTAATAGTGGGAACAATGACAAAGGGGGAGTTGCATGGCTGAGGATGCGTAGGAAAAAGTGCCCTGCATACTGTTATTTTGAAATTACTAAGCAGCATTTAAACGGTCTCATTTCTGTCTGCCTTTACGGATTAGCATTTGTTTGTAGGCTACTGGGACACCGAACAACATAGGTCTTATATAAAATAAAACCTTGGCAGAGTTCTATAAAAGCAGAGGAAAGGATGGGGTCTTCAAAATAAGTAGGGAAAGGATTTTTATTTGATTTTTTTTCTTTTTCTTTTTTTCCAAATTGATAGCCCCAAAGCATCATCCATTAAGGGCCCGCTACAGAAACCGGTGCCTGTTTATTTCCTCTCCGATCGCCCAGTCTCACTTAATTCATTTTTATTTGTAATGTAACTTATTGTGTACCATCTTTTTGAAGGAAGGAAAAGAAACCTTATAGCTTTAAAAGCCCCAGAAAGACATGAGCTTCATTACTCAGCGTTCTTATCCTTTATATTTTGTTTAATGCATGAGTGGGGGACACTTAGCTCCCAGAAAGCCATAAGTTCAAGCTACTTGGTAAGGAGAATGGAATTTAATCATATGCTCCATAGAATAATTGAATGATAAGAAAGACCACGATGTAAAAATAAAAAGAAACTTTATTTAAAAAAAAAATTGGCACCAAATAGTGCTTAAATACGTATGTGTAAGAGAAAAACAGATGGGAGATGGGGACTGACTTTTACCCAAAAAGCATGGTGTCTTGGGAGTATAGCTGGGTAAAAATTAGAAGCATTCACTGCTTTATCTTGCTATAGTGCTTGACTAACATTTTTTGAAAATTTTATCTCCCTTATTTACACTCGTATGAATGAATGCCTACTGAGCCACTTTTCAACTTTTTAGAAGTAAATAGAATATAACAAAATGGGCTGCTGTATACCCGTGCTTCTGGGAGCTGCCTGAGAGCGTGGGAAAGCCTGGGAGACCCCATCATGCAACTTCCTGTTCTATCGCATGACACCTGGTCCAGGGGGAATTTCTCTCTGAAGTTCCCTGCCTGTGAACTCGGGCCTTCAAGCCTGGGGAGCAACAGCTCTGCCCATTTTCTTCAAAATGTCTAAACACGGGCTCTTGGGTCCTTGTAAACAAGCTAGTCCATGAGAACCATCGAGTCCACAGGAACCCCTAATTCAGGGTGTACAGCACATCCTGTCACTGCTAATTTGGTGTTAAAGTTGATCTCTCAACCTCCTCACGTTAGATTTCCTTTCATTTCCCGTGTGTCTTCCCTGAGTAACAATAAATTAAGGGTATTCTTGTAACTAGCATATGTGTGCATAAATGTGCCTTACCCAGAAATGGTTTGTGATCTGAAATCATCTTTTTAAAGTTCTTTTCAGATCGGATTTCTTTCCTCAGCCATTGAATAAATATTTAACGAAGGCCCACTCGGCAGAGCGTTCTGCTCTCTTCTGGGGATGCTGTGAAACCAAACTGTTCCCTGTACATGGGGACACAAATCAGTCATGTTAATGACTCGCTAATTCCTAACTATGATCCATGATTGTAAAGAAGTACAGGGTCGCCGAAACCGGTTTGGCTCAATGGATAGAGCGTCGGCTTGGGGTTCCATTCCCGTCAAGGGCATATACCTTGGTTGCGGGCATATCCCCAGTAGGGGGTGTGCAAGAGGCAACTGATCGATGACTCACTCTCGTCGATGTTTCTAACTATCTCTCTCTCTTCCTCTCTGTACAAAATCAATAAAGTATATTTAAAAAAAAGAAGTGCAGGGTTGACCTATGAACCAGGAGGTCACGGTTCAATTCCCGGTCAGGGCATAGGCTCCATCCTCACTGTGGAGTGTACGGGAGGCAGCCAATCAATGGTTCTCTCTCATCACTGATGTTTCTATCTCTCTAGCTCTCTCCCTACCTCTCTGAAATCAACAAAATATATATATTAAAAAAAAGAAAAAGAAGTGCAGGGTCCTCTGAGTTTTTACACTGGGTATGATTTGGACAGCGGAGAGATGGGGTGTCTGCTGGAAAGACCACCCTGAGAAAGTGCTCCTTAAGAAAGGAGCAGGTGAGGAGGAAGGCTCCAGGCAGAGCACACGTCATGGAACAAGTCCCTGGAGTGGGAAGGCCCTCGTGTAGCATCTCTTACATTTGGGGCAAAACCTGTGTCATTTCCACCTTAGCCATTGAGACTCTCTTCTAGGTTAGCTTTAAGTAGAGTCAAGCTGAGAGGGCAGGACAGGGTTAACTTGACAGGGCTAACTCCTGACTCCATTTTGTTCTGTATCCTCCTTTTTGTATAACTATGTCACTGTGTAGCTGGACCCTAGTCCTCACCCAACCAATCGGGCTCAGCCAAAGCACCCATCCCCCAGACCCCTATAAATTCTTTGTTCTGTAGGAGCCCACTCTCTCTCTCTCCACCTCACCGCTGCGTCAGTGTACGTGGGACAGAGCTCGGGCTAGTCTGAATAAAAGGCTCTTTGCTTTTGCATTGAACTCGGCTCCCTGGTGGTCTTTGGGGATCACGAAATCTGGGCATAACAAAGCCATCCCTGCTGTTGTTCTATTTTAAACCAAATCTGGTTCTCTCCAATGCTCTGTCATGGCCTGCACGTCACACAGTTACATGTGTGACGTGCGCTTGCTGAGTTTCCCCCCTTGGAGACGAGGAACATGTTCACACTTCCCGTCTCTTCATCCCCACACCCCCTCTTTGCAGTGTAGTTTGGATTTCCTTTCAAACTCTCTGAACTGGCAGCCTGGTGACCAACGGCCTCTTCCAGCCAAATGCTT